AGGAATGAATGGTGGCGAAAAAGATTATCGTGATAAACGGAAAAGATCGACATATTAAATATTAAATTTTTCAACAACAAAATTAATTATCTTATTGCCAACGTATTTTCCAATTATCATGATTACAAATAAGACTTCATTATTTGACAATTACCAAAGCAGAGAAATATTTGAGTTAAGTAGAAGTTTAAAGGAGGCTGGTGAAAATGTGACAATAAATCAAAAAGGATTAATCCAGTCTTCAAAACGTGTAATTATAAAGAAAATATTGGAAGCAATGGCTAATGGTATTGACGTATCATCGTTATTTGGTGAAGTTGTGAAGGTCAGCAATTAAAAACTTGTACGCGTATTTAATTTAATTACTTTAATTGCTAATAATAAAATAAAGAAATTGATAAAATATAAATTATTCACTAAATACCAACATACAAAAATATAAATAAATTAGGGAAATGATTCTTGTCATATAATTTTAAGAGGTGGTACACATGAACCTAATTATTCAGCAGAAAATGTAAAAAATGCTGTATCAAAATTAGAAGCTGCAAAGCTCACTGCACGTATAATGATTGATTGTAGTCATGGTAATAGTCAAAAGGTTTTTAGTAAACAAGTCGATGTGGTTAAAGATATTGTGAGTATTGAATGATGAATGAATATTCTCTTGTGATTGTGAATTAATTAATCTATTTGATTAATTTTTGTAGGTTGAACAACTTAAAACTTCGCCTACAGGATTCAATATAATGGGTGTAATGATTGAAAGTAATTTGGTAGAAGGTAGCATTAAATATTTTTATTTTTATTTGTGTTATGGTTATGATTATAATAATCCAATAATAATAATAACAAGGAACATAATTATCGATTGTTGACCGGACAATCTTTTAAACCTGAAGATTTTAATAAAATTATCGATGACCATATTCTTAAACAATTAAATAATAGCTATGATAATAATTATAAAATTGTTTCAATTGGTATATCTATTTGTGGACTGACAGATGAAGAAGGTGTAATTTCATTATGTGAAATTGGAAATTTGTCAGGTTGGAATCCGGTGAAATGCGTCAAAGAAAAATTCGGGAATGATATAAAAGTTAAAGTTATCAATGATTCTGATGCCGCATTAGAATATGTTAGAAGAGAATGGCCCGGTGTCAAAGATCTAGCGATTATCATTGCAGGTAGTTAGCACGAAAGAGAAATTTGTGATTTTTTGTAGATTGTTATGTTATTTGAAATAATAATAATAATAATCATAGGTACTGGGATTGGCACATCGTTTCTTTGTAATGATAGAGTTTTAAAAGGTCATATGA